CTCGCCTCGCCTCGCCTCACCTCGGGGCCCGGGCAGGGCGTGCTCCTGCTTCTCCCCGGCCTGCGGGGCCCTTCTGGGCTCCAGAGATAAAGTACGGCGCCGGAGAGAAAAGAAGCCTGCCACAAAGAAGGGAGCGGCCCCGCGGGAGCGGGGGAGCTCCGGTCAGGGCTGGGCTGGCGGCGCCGACCGCATCCCTCCTGGCCCGGGCAGCCCCGGGTGCGTGGCCCGCTGCTGCTGCTGCATCTCATGGTCGTGGCCGTGCCTTTGCCTCTTAGTGACGGGACGTCTCATGTCACTTTGTAGTTTGACGGATGATCTCTCCCAGGAGAAACTGCAGTCTGTCTAATTGCTGTGTCTTAACAATTAATGATTCTGAATTGAAAAGCTACTAAAAGATTACTGTACATTAAATCAAAATAAATGATCGGAGGCTTGAAGTTAGCCTTGCCTTGGTAATAACATACTATGAAACACACAGTGCATCTCAGTGGGTCAGAATTTTTAAAGCAGCTTTGCTCTGTGGTACTTAAGTTGAAACACCTACTTTAGATTTAGTAATGGCTATGAATTATTTAACAGATGTTATGGTAGTGGTGGGAGGCCCTTATCAGGAGAAGGTTTTAATAACAACTTAATTATTGCCGTAAATAACTTACAGATTAATTCCTTTTCCACTGTGGAAGCATATATGTAGTCCTGTGAAGGCAGTAGAAGCACGCTCTTGCTTCTGAAATTAGACAGCAGTTTGAAAGTTTGGGGCCAGATGATGAAGGATATCTGCAGGAGATAATATAACTTAATATATGTTTATGTTACAAAAATACTCGGAAATGAACTCTGTTAGATACAGAGGCAGTTTAGTAGTAGCTGCTGACTGACTGAAATTATTTTTTAGAGCATTTTGCCTCTCATCTCAATAGAATTATGTATTATATTTGCTTCTCACCTCAAAGTCTGCTAGTAATTGTCTCCATTTTCAAACAAAAGTAATCTAAAATTAAGGGCCTGAAAATTCAGGCACTGACTAGTAAGAGTCTCAGTTTTCCTATCTCTAAAGTGATTAAAAACTACCCTGGCTTTTGAACAGGAGTGCAGTGCTAAACAACTTGATGATCATACACTGCTGATTCATAGGATTACTGAGACAGGAAAAATATCTAGATATCGAGGACGAAATAGCCCATAATTCTTCCTGGTGAAAATTCTAAATGTAATCAGTGAAGAACTAGTGACTGTCATTTTATCCAGATGTGACACTGTCTTTCATACTGTTGTTCTTACAATGTTAACATGAATGAAGAGTTGAACTCTTGTATTTATGAAAAACACAAAGAAGAATAAAGGAAAAGTTTTCTAAACTCTTAGCTAGGGTACTCATTTAATTGTTTTCAAAACTACATTAAACACTCTAGTTTTTCTCTCTTCTTCAGTAGCTTACTTTTTCTCCAAAGTTTGCTCTCTGTCTAGCATGTCACTGGAGAGAGCTTAGTGATTTTTAACAATATTTAGGTGTGCACAGACAATTGCAAGAGACCGGTTTAGAGTTGCTAGATCCCCTCAGCAGAGTTACAGTAGTTATGGTGCAGAGCAAAATTGTCTTCGTTGGCATTTGGAGGGTATTCTTTCCATGACAACAAGCCCATTTTACTGTGCACTGCACTGAACTATGAGTAGGGGTCTGGTTGCTCCATCTTAGCTGAGAAGGCCCTTTTAATTGCTCAGTCATGATTGTTTCCAGTTGTTGAGTTACACTCTTGTCTGCCAGCACTTGAGTTCTGGAAGATTTAACTGTGGTGTTTTACCAGCTTACTGACTCTAGCAGTCCGTCTTGCATTTTTGACTGAAACTACTGATTCCCCACTTCGCTTTTATAGAGATGAATGTACACGTGCCAGATCGTTAGCTGTCACAGTTTGTGATCTGTCATAGTAGTTTAAGTTGGATTTATGCTAGCAGGTTGGACTGTAAACAGAAATATTTCTGGCACAGGAATTTTTTTACTGGAGCGATCATTTGCAGCACAGTGACTAGGAGGACATCTGGGGATAACAACTCTTTGTGATCACTCATATTGGTTTTAAAAGTTCTTTAAACCCCAAGTGACAGTCAGTGTCATTCATAAAACAATTTCAAAGGGCTGAAATGACTTATGATCTTGTAAATTGCTACAGAATGGGCTGTGGACTTGTAAATATACAAAGGCTTTGAAGTTACCAAATCAGAGAATTTATAAACCTGCTTGTCACAGTTCTTATAGGTAGAAGGATGTGAAACACTGAGAAAATGAGTTCTATTGCACTAGAAACATGTTTGGATGCAGGAGGGGTTTATTCTTTACTTGTATGTAAAGACAGCGTCTATGAGTTTAAAAGGTCACTGGCCTCTAAATTATTCTAAGTCAGAAGGTCTATTGTTTTTGTGCATTGAACCAGCTGGACAGGAGTCACACGCTATGATATGAAAGCACACACCAGCTGATCCTTTTTGAAAAAGGAGGCTTATGAGGAAATTGCAGTAGGCCTCCTATTTTGTTTCATTACGGTGACTTACATCTATGCCTTTTTTACCCTGTCAGTGGACTGTAACGTAGTGTATAGCAGATGTTACTCTTTGGGAAGTAATATGTGCTTCAGATGATCACATGTGCACAGTGGCTTAATTCTTAAAGTTTTATTCTTACTAAACTCTAAATACATTCTTGATTTTGTAAGGTGTTCAAAACTAGTATTTCCTAAAACATTACTTTTCTTACATCCTATGTAGTTCAAGTACTAAACAGGAACAACCATTTGTGTGAAAATTATCAAAAATACATTATATATCTAGTCAGACCATCTCCTTTGCTATGTAATTTGGAATCTAACACTGGATTTAACAAGGCTCTTCTTTGACTAAAGAAGGAAGGCTCAGGCTTATAGTTCTTTACATAAAAAATTGTGATAGTGCTGGGGTTTAAAACTAACCTAAACCAACTTAGTAACTACTGCTTTGCCTTCAGAGTGATGGAGGCATTCTTGTGTTTAGTTCTCATTGTTTCCTCACACACTGTGTGGCGGATTCAGGGAACAAGTGCATATGCATTCTGTGTTCTTGTCCATAATACTTGATGCTGTTAGAAGTTAGATATCTTTAGATCATAAGTTAAAGGCCACTTTTGTCATCTGCCTGAGGTCTCTCTTTCTTTTTTTCCCCTGTTTGTTTGTTTTTTTTTTTTTTTAAATGGAAGGAGAGAGATGCAGACATACAAATATGCATATGACTTGGGAATTCTGTGTCTCAAACAGAGTACCTCTAGGTCCTCTTGATGTTAAACAGGAGTTTTATCTGTATTTAGAATTTGGGGGATCACTTATGGGTTGTTTGGTTGGAGAACAACCTACTTGGCTTTGGGAAATGAAAGTGCTCGTTACTTCAAGATCTTGAGAAGAGTTTTAGTGTAACAAAAATGGCAAAGCTGAGTGTGAAAGTGTGCTGTTCACTAGTGATTATTAACATTCAGCTTTGTATTAGAAAGTGAAAGTTTATTTTTAGCTTATAGGAGATACATAGTTCCTTTAAGTAAAACTTCAGATTCACTATATGTGTTTCTCTTTATTGCTTTGGGAGTTAAATATTGCAATTCCTTGGCAAAGAGAATAGGCTATGGCAATTGTTATTTCAATCTGAATGCATATGAAGAGAAATAGTGTGATTTGGAAATGGGTTTGATAGTGGTGCTGTGTAGTCTAGAGTTTGTTTAACCTCGAGATTTTTTTAAAGATTTATTTTTTTAAACACTTATTTTTAATATGAAGCCTCCTTTGGGTTAGCAGCAAGTAAAAATTTCAAGAATGTGGTATGGTACAGTATCAAAACCTTGGTCATATAGGTATAGATAGCCTTGCAACTCAGAATAAAATACATGAACTTACAGGAGACTGCCATCCTGGGTGCATGTTTCTTCCTACTCGTGGTTCTATCATCTGCTAAAAGAAAAGTTTTGAGCGATTGGCATGAACAGTATGTTCTAGTACGATAGTTAATTGAATTGAGAATTGACTAAAGTTAAAGATCAAATTAATACAATGAAAGTGTGATTACGTAGTAAGGAATTTTTAATTTTTGAATATACTCTACAAATACGAGCTTACTTTGAAAATGACAGCTACTTGAATTAAAATTAATATCAAACCTCTCCAATGTCCTCATATAAAAATGGGGTTTGTATGAGATTGAGCATAATTGTTGTACTGTAGAAGTCTTGTATACTTTTGTGATGTTAATACAACATAGCAACATAATTTTTTGTTGTGTTTGTTTTGCCGTCTTGAAGCTTAACCTTGGAGATGATATCGTGAAAGTTGTCATCGATTGGAGCAAGCTTCAAAGCACATCAGCACTTCAGCCAACATTGCTCTTTAGTGCACTTCAGCAGCATATTTTATCTTTGCAGGTAAATATTTCATTGGCCACGTTAGACTTGACAAAAGTGATCAACAACTGAATGTAGTTACATTCTCTAAACTGTAAAATGTCAGTTGTTTTGATCCTATATTGCTATGTCTGACAAAAAAGAATGCAAAAGTATTATATGCTTGGGATTCCACTATGCTTCTATAGGTACTGACACTTATGGATTTCTCGGATTAGTGGTGGGAATAGCCACTGTAGGTGAGCAGGCTGAATAAATGCAGCCTCATTGATTTCTAGACTTGCATTGTAAATGTGATACATTTCCATCTATGGTGGGTTATAATTAAGCAATAAGACACGGCAGGTGTGTGTCATGCTATGATAATGATTCCATGCGTTGGGTGAGTTTTGAGGCTCATGGAGTGCTTTCAGTGGTTCAAGAAGTGGCATTATCCCAGCATGACACATCCTGGAGTGTCTTACTGCAATTAAATATATTTTCAGCGTGTATTTTTTTTTTTTAAAAAAGTAATTTCTTTGACATTAATGTCTCATCTTGCCAAGTAGCCAGTCACCATTACTGTCATTTCTTTTAACTATTTGAAACTTTCCAACCCTGCCAAAAGTATGTGTAATTTAGTTACATGGCAGGGAGGGTGAGCAGTTTGTCAGCTGGTAACTGAACAGTGTTTTGACCTTGATAGTTCATCTGTAAAAGGTGGGGATTTGAATACCAGTTTTTTGCTTCAGCTAGTCAATGAATTATTTCAAGTGCGTATTACTGAGAGGGTGAAAAAGAAAGTTCCTATATTTGCTTGTCTGTAGGTAAAAGAAGGACCCTCTATGTTTTCCAGACATCCACCAAATCTTTGGTGTGATAAACAAAAAGAGAAAATATGCAGGATAAAAGCAAGTAAAAATTACATCCAGCTGTCAGAACACTGCAAGTAGGAATTTGGTTCCATTTCAGGAAATGTGACTGGTAAAAATCATGTTATCTTTAAAAAATATAAAAATAATTTCTAGAGGGAAAATAAGCAATGAAATTCAGACTGGATGAAACTGGTAAAAATTAAAAAAGGGGGTGTGACATATATATGTACTGAGGTTTTGTTATTACGTCTTGTGTAAGAGTTATTGCAGTAGAATAATAAGCATTTATTTTTGCTGCTACAAATGTCAGTGCATTCTCTCATTTAATTTCATGACCTAAGTAGATAATCAACCGTGTCAAGAAAAGCATGTGTTCAGGATAACGCCTATATATTTCATGTCTGTATTCTCTCATTCACTTGGGCAACTGCAGTTTCAAGTGGAGAATGTAGTGCTGTGGTGATAAAGGCTTTACAGTGTGAAAGCATTGGCTTTCATGTTAAGGAGGAAAAATACTAAGCCTTACTGTTCTGAGTAGGCATTTGAATGACATGTTAATTAAGTGGCATTGGTGCCAACGATTGAAGCTTTGATTTAGCTAGTAACAGACAAGTAGCAGGCAGATTTTCGCAGAAATTTGGGAGTTTTCCTATACAAACCTCTAAAAGGCACAGGTCAAAAAGGCCAGAATCAGGGTGTGCACAGTATTTGGAACTATAGCTTTTTTTTTTAATTTATTTTTATTTTATTACTGTGTTCCGTCAGAGGCAGATGTTGTAATTCCTAAAATTATTTCAGTTGGTCTGTTTTAGAAATTGTAACAGTACTTGGGTTTTTGCTTATTGTTTTGGGGTTTTTTTGGCCTTTTTTTTTTTTTTTTTTAACCCTAACACACTGTTTTCTTTGTTCAGCCTCTTCTAGAAAAACTTCAGTCATTGATTAAAGAGGAAAATATAGGCCACGTTGTACCGGCAGGTAAAACAGAAGGCCAAACTTGTGAAACAAGTTTAGATGTTTATGATGGTAACTGTCAGATTGAAGAAAAGTATGCAAGTTATGACTTGGGAGATCTGAAGGATGCTCATATTAATTTTGATCCAGAGGTGGTCCAAATAAAAGCTGGAAAAGCAGAAGTAAGTGATTTACCTCAATTAAAAAAAAAAAAGAAAAAGACCTTTCTAAATTTTAAATTTAAAGAATGAAATAGATATATGCCATCATGTTTATTACCTGCAGATTGACAGGCGGATATCAGCCTTCATCGAGAGGAAACAAGCTGAGATCAATGAAAATAATGTCAGGGAATTTTGCAATGTTATTGATTGTAATCAAGGTAACTGGCTAGCCAGACTTTAATCTTCATAGCAATTTAAGTTGTTTTTTTATTTTTTTATTTTTCAAAAGCACTATTCTATATTTAAAACAGGACTGTATTTTAAGAGTAACTTTGTTTTAAAGTTAAGAACTTGCATGTGCACTGCAGATGTTGTCAGATAGACAAAAAAAGAAAGTAGTCACTGGGTGACAATGTTTAATGCATCCCATACAGAAACATTATAGCTATTACTCTGTTCGTTTTAAGAACTGTGATCTTAAATCAGATGATTTGTAGCTCTTGTTCCCAATGTTTTAGCTAGATGTTCCTTCCAAAGTCAACAGAACTGCAATTCAGAAATGTCTTGTGAATTGCATATTCAAATTGAAGTTAGTTTAATGCTAGTTAAATTACAAAGAAGTATTTTTTGCAATCAATTTGAATTACTAGCTACTTAGAATAACTTTTTCCTTTCAACATTACTCACGCTATTGGTGTTTCTAATGCACCAACTGGCACAATGGGCTGTATCTATAAATCTATAACTAAACAATCTTAAATCCATCTGGTAGCCTGGATCCCATTAGCACAATCAGTAACTGTGTAACCAAACGTGTCTTAAAAGTGAAGACACTTTTGTATACGTAAGTAGTATGGAGACATTTTCTAAGTACTTGTGAGCCCAGATGTGCATTGTCTCTGTGATGTACTTATGCTTTTAGAGATCAAAGCTTATTGTTCCATAAGCTTTATAGGAAGAGGGTTTAACTCCTTGAATATTAGTTGGAATGAAAATGACATCTGAAGTCTAGTAGAATGTGCTAGATAGTAAAATACAGATTCCTAAAATTGTTAATTACGTACAGAAGAAATGATGATAAGACATTCTTTTGTATGTTCAGGCATAAAATATGTGTAAAGCTTTGGTGTATGTGAACAGAGATTAAAATATAAACATTAGAATAAACTAAGATGGTCTGTAATGTAGGTTTTTATGGTTAAACAAATTAAAGAAGTCACAGGCATCAGAATAAGTGCAGGAAGGTGAGAAAAGAATGCTGATGAGTAAACTAGACCAGTCTAAAAATAGGAGGAGAACAGTTTCAAAAAAGGACATAAACCCAGAATAACAGTGTTAAGCAGGGAGAAGACTTCTGTACAGGAAGAAAGAAATAAGTTACAGGGAAATGCAGTGAAAAGTAAGAACCAAATAAAATGTAAATTGGAAGAAATTTGGTCCTGATCCAATAAACTTTTATATACATGTGTGCATACATTTATATAAGTGATTAAATTAAAACCAGTAGGTCTATGCAAGTGTGTGAAACTATTAATGAGCAAATGTTTATAGAATGAATGAAGTATTTCTGATGTTTTTATTGTATGAAAAATTTTAATGAGATTTGTTAAAAGCCTCAAAGCTGATAATGGTTAGTGTATTTTAAATTATAAATACATAATTAGGACCTCACTTTTTATATTATTATTATTTATTTAGAAAATAGCTGTGCCAGAACAGATGCAATTTTCACACCCTATCCTGGATTTAAAAGCCATATAAAGGGTAAGCAACTATTTTAATGTCCATTTATTAAGAATGTCCAGATAGAACTGCACTGATAAATTTTTGACTTAAAAACTTTCTACAGAATGCTCAAAAAATGCAAACTTAGCATTGATTTTTGACTCTAGTGAATACTTCTATATCTTTGCTTCCTTCTCCAAGGTTTTCAATCCCATAACTGCTTCATTAAGCTGATGGTTATGCACTAAAGTAGTCTGTTTTAATTGTCTGAAAGGAAAGATGCGAAAGATAAAGCAGGACAGAGAAGCTTAACAATTCTTAGCTTTTCTTCTAAGGTGAAACCAGCAGTCCAGTTAAGGAATTGAGATTAAATAAAATTATCTTCTATTTTTCATTAGGCGGCGTAAGTATACTGAATTAGAAAATAGTTTTGGGACACAGTGGAAGTTCTGAGACATAGAGTTGTGGGAAGTGACAAGCTGAGGAACAAGGTTACCACTGCACTACCTTTTGAAAAGGAGTAAACAGCGTAGAAATGATTGTCCAACAGAAGTGATGTATAAAAGATTGCTTGTCCATCTACCACTCTCTACCTGTACACAAGTAACTCTGTCTTTAAAAATAAACAAACAAAATCCCCCAAATGAAAATGAAAGTAACTGTTTCTTACATTTTTGAGAGTGGTAGTATTCAGTTATCCACTTGATATTGGTTCTAGAAACCAATTCATTATTCTGAATTCAGAATAATACTGTGAAGCATGATGATAGTTATAAGCATTAAAAGGTCTGGTGAGCTAAGAGGGAGACGGGGAAGTGAGTTTTAGTTCAGAATCTTTCACTGAGAACCCCTTTTAGTAGTCACTTTTTTAAACAGAGTGCTAGTTTGTAACTTGGATAGTAGCATATTATAGGAAAAAAGAAAAGTTTGCATTTCAAGTAACTAAAACCCGAACAGTTCATAACTGAAACATGAATAACACTTAGAAAGGAATTGGAAGTAAAACCAGCATAAAATGAAGTAAGAACGTAACATGTGACCTTCATAAAGTACTGAGTAAGAAGGTATGTGCTTCAGTGTCTGGAGTTGCCGACGTAGTCTTTAAGTCTGCAGTACACTGCAGTAGTCCCATCAGGAAGGACTTGAGAAATGACGGTGATTTAAAGAGAAGTGACCAAAATCTTCTGATGAAGACCTGGTTCAGCAAGGGGAAAAGATAGACCCAGTAGCAGCTGAAGGGTCATTAAAGCTGTTAGCTGAACAACAAAACTTAGAAGAACTTCCTTGCTGAGATTCATAGTGGTTCTTCTAGTTGTATACCTCCCCTCATCTTCATGTATTTGTGGTGCTTCCTGTAATATTAGGTCTGGCCTCTTCTTTGCATTCACAACAGCTCACATGTACAATTGCTGACATAGATATCGGGTTTTCTGCTATTTATCAGCAGCTGATAACAAATTCTTGATACGGCAGTCTACATGAATGTAGGAATAATTCTTTTACTTTGTATATGTAAAGTCTTAGGTTTTTGTTTTGTTTAGGTACTCATGCAAAAATAGGAAAATACTTCTAATTAAACCTTTGGTCTTAATGTGTGTGGGACCCTTTGCATGAGAGACTGGTGTGAAATGGATTTAACACAGGTTTTTGTATTTTAATATATTGATTGTTTCAGTTAGATGTACTTTGTGTTTCATGTGCATATATGTTAAATTTGTGTTCTCTTGACCTAGTTTCTAGGGTAGTAAATACATACGGACCTCAGACTAGATCTGAAGGAGCACATGGGTCCAGTCACAAAGCCAATGTACCCATTCATGATTGTGGAAACCAAGCTGTTGAGGAGAGATTGCAAAACATTGAAGCACACTTACGATTACAAACAGGTTTGTATCATGTTTTAATTTTGACATATGTGTGCCAGTTTGTACTACAGTTGTCATTACTGTAGTAAAACTGGGCAAGTCTATAAAAACTGTGACTGTAAAAAGAGAGGATAGGTCCACTGAAGGGTTTAGTCACCCCAAGTACTACAATCTAATGTTTAGGTTCTTCTGCCCAAAATGGAACCCAGGTTTATGCCCAAATTAGGATGCTGAGTTAGTAAATCTACACTTCATGTGGTGGCAAATGAGAGAGAGGCACTTCAGAATGGGACTTAAAACAATCTGGAATATTTGGAGGTCGGAGTTCTCCATAGCCAGTGGAGTCCTTCTGCCTTGACCCACTGAACAGGAAAAACTGTGGTGAGGACTCAGTCCTGCTTCGTGGACACCTTGTGGGTTGGGGTTAGGATGAACCCAAAAGACAGCCTGAAACCTTTTCCTAAAGGTGATGATTCCTGAAATACAGTTAGGTGAGAAGCTTATTTCCCAGAACATGGGAAGCTCATTGTCAATACTTCCCTTTAGCCATGTAAACGTGAGTCCACACCTTTCACTAAAATAAATGCCATAGCCACCAGGCTACTGACTTTTTTAAAGTAGTTGTTTTTCTCACCCCAGCCCCCATTTTCTAGAATATAAATCAATGAGGCACTTACCAAGGAGGAATCTGTATTTTCCCTGAAGAATGTTTTCAAAACAGAGCAGAAGCCCAGATCCTCACCTAATAAAGTGAATGTCCTACACATCACACTGCAGACACACACTGACATTTCCAATGTTGACTGTCTTCTCAATACCGAATAGATGCCAATCCATTCTCTAAGAATATGGTGAACATTGACTAGATTACTAGATTCCTGTGAATGCATACTGGATCAAAGTCCTCTGGCGGCAAGGAGAGTAGAATACTCCTAGATGCTGTTGAGGCAGCAGACAGAGCTTGACGCTTAGCTAGTATAGCTGTCTCAAAAATAAGGTGGGTTTTGTGCACGGAAACAGAATTTGCAAGTGGCTGGCCAGCATTGAAGTTACAATGTGTAGTAGCTTTAGAGTTTATGCATATCGGAGATAACAATTGGGGGTAGTTAAGGAGGGGCCCTTGCTTCTAGGTTGTGCCTATAATAGGTGACATAATTTTGTTTGAAGGAACAAGTCAGCTAAACTACAGTATAGGGGAAGAGGATGAAAATGTGCAATTCCAGCTCAACTCCTGTCCAAATCAGCATTCCTGGGGAAGTCTCAAGATCATTTGTTACTTACCCCAGCAGCTGTGCAAAAAGTATTCATCTGAGCAGGTAACCTGCCTCAGCTACCTGCTTGCCAGTTTTTATTTCTGATGACTGAAAGAGTTGTTCTTGACTCACCTGCTGTTTTTCAGAGCAGCTTCTTCTAGTGCTAGTACTGCTCTTTTCCCTTTACATTAAGAGACAGCAGTATTAAGAAGAGTGAGAGGTTAGCCGATTTAATTAGTAGCTGCTGAGTGATGAGTAGAGAGCAGAACTGAAGGAGGGAAGCTACCTGCAAAATTGTCTGTCTGAAGCGAGGAAATAGATGACTGGCAAAAAAACCCATTAGTGCTTATTTCAGTAGTTCGTGGAATAGAATTGTCTTACCTAACAGGCCTAGAAATAAATGGACATGGGTGGCAAGAGAAGAAGTAAAAGCGTGCTAAGGCCTTGGTTGTCTCTACTGTTGAGAACCAGACTGTCATTTTAATTGGGATAGCCAGTAATTAGTTGTGATAAACAGTGATTTCAGTTTATAGAATACTATGTAGCAAAAATAAAATGCTTTCTAAAGCTGGTCTTTTGATCAGTTCTGTTCTTACATGGGGAAACAAGCCCAAGCTGCTGTAGTATATCTGCAAACAGCAGATGGGCTGAGGTGGGGTTTTTTGTTGCTGTTGGTTTTGTGGGTTTTGTTGGCTTTTTTTGTTTGAGTTTTTTGGGGTTTTTTGGTTGGTTGGTTGTTTTTTTTCCAAAGCTCTGTTATTCCATTCCACACACATTCCCCACCCCTGCTTCTCCCATCTATGGCAAGGCAAACGCTGTTCTTTGTCAAGTGCAACTCACACCTGTGCTCTAACCTCTGATGCTCAGTGGAGATAGGTTTCCTTCAGAACAATCTTAGATTTCAGTGCTGAATTCGTGTGTGGTCTGCCATCCCATCTGCTCCCTCCTGATGCTGCTGTCAGTTTTGAAGTCGTAACATTTGGGTGTGACCAATGTATTGTAAGAGTGATCATTAGTTGTTCTAGGGACCTTGTCAGGCATATTTCAACCACCTGCATAAAGTTGTCTGTTGCCTTCACTGACTGCATTGGCTTATCGATCAGGTTTTACCCTGAATCATGTTAATTACCCTTCCTTTTTATTATCCCATCCACTCATTTTGTTTCAGCTACTGGTTGATAGGTGGGCTTAAAGAATTCACCTGTAAAACTTGAAATCTTTAAGTTATTCAAGTGCTTTTCCTGATTTCTTTGTATTTGTTCTGGTGTATTTAGGTGGTCCTGTACCAAGAGACATTTATCAGAGAATTAAGAAGCTTGAAGATAAAATCCTTGAGCTGGAAGGACTGTCTCCTGAATATTTTCAATCTGTAGTAAGAAATTCTCTCTTTTAGCATACCTAAATGCATTCGGGACTCTTGTGCTTAAATCTTTGATGTAGAGGCAAAAACCTAAGCAGTTAAAGGGCAGACACTTTTGGTAGACAACTTTTGGTAGACAGCTCTGGCTTGGTGTAATGGTTAAATTTTATGTGGACCATCTATGTAAGTTCATATTTCTACCTAATTTCTCATTTGAAAGAAAATAGTATTTGTTGGGGGAAAAAATTGCAGCCACTCGAGCTTAACTAATTTGTAAGAAATGTATTATAGAGGTTGCTTGCTCCTGCCTTAAAATCTGAAGTGTTTCTAACGACAAGAAAATTGACTAAAGTTTTGATCTTGATACAAATCATTAATGGCTTAAATCAGATGGAATCCTTTGGGCTTCTGTACATGATCTGATTATTAAAGATCAGTTACATGAAATAACTGTTCCGATACGATGAGAGATTAAACCCTTTAAAAATTGTTTTGTGTAATTCTATGACTTAGATTTCTTTGTTGCTAGTTTTTAGGCAGAGTTCTGTCTCTTTCTGAATAGTAAACCTTATCCTTCATTCACCAGAGAAGATTAGAGAACATTAGTTGTTACTACATCAGTCTCTGCTTGGCTCTAGAAATTTCTTGTCTATTATCTTGCTCTTCCTTTGTTCCCCACATAACAGTAGGAATGCGTCTTTTACTATTTGTCATATTTTAATTGGTATCTTCTCCCTTGAGAGCATCCAAAGAAGAGTCAGCAGTTAAAAATCAATAGCAATATTACAAATTTTTGGTGTTTTTTCTTTTCACTTGTGTTGGAGACCAATGAAGTCCTTTATTTGTAAGGCTATTTCTTCAAGTTACTGGAAACTAGAAGTTAAAACATATACTTCCATAAGCTGAAATTTCCATGGAAAGTGCTTTAGGATCTTCTCTAGAATGAGGATCCGGGAAGAATTTGTGATGGTGGCAATAGTAGTGTTGTGCAGTAATTAGCATTTTTGTTTTTTTCCCAAAGTTTTGCATAAATATTGGTGTGGATACAGGAAAATTTTAGGGAGAAAAATGTTGACAGTTTCAAAAGCTAGATATTGATCTTGGTTTTGTCTGAAGGAAGCTTCAGTTAGGTTGATAGTTGTTGGCTGCCAAGCATGGAGAAGCTTCAACAGTTTCTGACTGCTCTCCAGTAGTATTTCTCATGATCCAAAGTACACTTAATTATAAAAAGATTTCTTTAATCCATGGAATGGCAGTCACTGTTCTTTCTGTACTTTAAAAACTCTTGTCAATGTTGTTACAGAATTATTTGTGGTCCTCTGTCAGTGCAACATTAAGTCTGTTTTCATTATGTCTTTTCTTTAGAGCTGTTCTGGCAAGAGGAGAAAGGTTCAACCTCCCCACGTAAGTGCTGTTAACTTTTGTTTACCTTAAGTTTAGGATGTTCTGTGTGAAAAGTAATCAGAAGTTCTACAAAACAAGTATCTAACTTCTCAGAAATAGATGCATCAGTATTGGATAGATTGCTGGTAAAGAAAGGGTGGGAAGGAGAAAGAAAGTTAGTGGGTGTCACAATGAAATGAGTCTTCCAAGATTCTGTACTTAGTCTGTAGGTTAGTTAGTGTTTTCACCAGTTAGAAGGATGATAGAATAAAATAAATCTGTAATGATGTTAATTAATATAGGGGTAACAAGCAATTTGTGAATTCTGATCAGCCTCCTAGTAATGGCTTCTGGTTTTGTTTTGTGGTTTGGTGGGTTTTGTTGGGTTTTGTTTTGGTTTTTTTTTATTCACTTATTGGTTTATGAAGAGACAATAAAAATAAAATGGCTGGCTCAGCAAAAATGTTGCAGAAAGACGTGACATTATAATAGATACTAACCTAAGTCAGTAAGACTTGCTATTTTCACAACACCATCACATAAGGGAATGCATTAACAGTGTACCTTAGGCCACAAGAGAGAATTTCTCATCAGTGCGAGACCATAGCTGGAACACTGTCTGCTGCTAGCCATCACACTTGGAGACAGATGGACTGGGAAGAATGCTTAGAATGGGATGTGGCCATCTGAAGCTTGAGGAAGTAGGTGTGTGTACATGAGAAAAAAAAATCCTCCACAGGGTGAAATATTTTTATAAAAAGGATGAGAACCAGTTCTTTGTGTAAGAAGAGATCAAAAAAATTGTCAGGTTAGGTGGGCTTAGAGGAGATTGATGTTGGGCAATAGGAAAAAAACCCTTCAGTTGTAAAGCCAGGTTCTACAAGATCTAGATAGTCTCGTCCAGTGTTGTACCATCAAAGGATTTTTGGTTTTTTATGAAGAGGTTAAACAAGCATCTAATGGAAGTAGCATGGATATATTGATCCATGATTAGGACTGTCGGTTTCTTCTAAGTTTACATTCTTTTTCTTTCAAGTTTAAATAGCCATAGACTAGATTCAGACAATTCTGCAAAAGTATTTCTATCATTTAGTGCAATATGCAGTGACCTCAAGTATCAAGTGCTAGGCCACTTCTCTGGCAATTACAAGATGTAAATGATTGTGGTTTTTATTTTGTTCTTTTAGCAGAACTATTCATTGGCTGAACTTGATGAAAAGATCAATGCTATAAAACAGGCATTACTGAGGAAAACAAAAGAAAGCAAGTCCAAGGAGGCTGAGCGGCTTCTTCGATAAAAAAATAAAAATCTTTTCAGAATCCTCATCGTGCTTTACACATACCTAAACCATAGACCTCAGTAGTGTTCATTGGGGATGACTTTAGAAATGAAAACAAAGCATGCATATAAGCTCCTTTTGGATGATCTTGAAAGCTTGCTTTCAGAAGAACTCATTTAAAAATAGTCTTATTAATGAAATAGTTACTTTAAAATGAAGAATGTTTTAGGAATAGCATTCTAATAATCCATTCCCTTCTGTTATAAAGGAGGATTGCAGCATTGTTCATATGTGGAAAGTCTTAACCTGCATACAAAAGCTACATTTCACATCTAATTCTTGATTATTGAGTATTCAAAAGGGCTATCTTTTGAACACTTTTCCTGTAAGTAGTTTGCATAGACTTGTGAAATAAAATGAAATACTTCCTCATAAGTAAACTCTTAGGAAAAAAAAAATTACAAAAAAACTTGAAGTATGCATGCTTACTTGCATTTTTTTCCATATTTGTCACTGTTTCCACAGCTGTTAGAAATGCAGCAAATTGCATTTCTTTTTGAAAGATGGTTATGGAAATCCTATATGTGTAAATAGAGACAATTGTTCTTCACTTCCTCAGTGCCCTGTAGGAGTTCAAACTTCATATCCTGCTAACAAACTTAATGTATTCTAAAGACCACTCCAGGGGAGGTTTTGAGGAGCATGCCGGCAGGCACCAGATTCCCTTCCTTCCATATGCATGCTTACATGACTTCTGAAGCATGGATGCTGGGTACGTAGTTTAATTTAAAGTCAGACCTTTGGCCATCCACTGTAGTGTGATTTTGTTTGGTTTGCTTTTTGTTTTTTTTTTTTAAATAAACCATTTTCTATTTATACCAGTTCTTTAGTTTCTTTGCTGTGTCTGTCTTTATTCCAGTTTAGAAGAAAAGTAGCTGTTACAGAGGGAGTCTTATGTGCACTGCTCTGCTTATGGCAGTCATACCATTAATGTCCCTGTATCGGTCCTTGACAGGTGTTATGAACAGTACTAACTGGACACAGTCTTGCACTTTGAAGACTAGTAGGCATTTGCTGTGATTCCGTGTTCTTATCTAGACTAACATTTGTTGTAGCAACTGCACCTAATGCTTCTCTGAAGGTGAACCAGCAGAGGTGGCAGAAAAAGCTGCTTGAGCTCTGGTCCTAGCTCAACGAAAGAAGACAGTATGATAGTTACCTGTTCAGATGCTTAGTGTCCACCCAGGAAGAGATTAGCCCAAGCTGCAACTTTTACCTGAAGTAGATAAGCTTTACTTGCTGTCTACAAAACTTTTTTTTTTTTGTACTGTGTTCCAAGAGCCATCGCTCAGAAGAGTACCATGTGGATATAATTGGGCCTAGTACCACACTTCACACAGTAGTGTTTCAAATTAGTACTTGAAAGAGTGGTGGGAGGTGACTGTTGCGACTGGGGACAGGAAGGATGACAACAGAGATTTAGCTTTTATAAAGCAGTAGCCTCATGTGCATCGTAATTCAAGTACTGGTGGGACATGCTGGCAAAGTCCGCTGCCTTTGCACTATGCAGTTTTCTCTGGAAAATTCTGGAGTGAAGCCCTAGAAGATATTAACCTGTGGCAGATACCTAGGTCTGAAAGATTTGTCTAATATTAAATTATTTGTTGTTAGTTTACATTAAGAAGCGTATATATGTATGTATATACACAGGGAAAAAAAAACTTCAGTCCTCATCTGGGGTCAGTTTTTGGAATAAATTGCAAACACTGCTGATTTCCTCAAGGGAGACTGGTTACAAAAAGACAGCATTAGCAGTTTCAAAGTGGCTTTTTCTGTAGTGAATTGCCTGCTCCTTGAACGATCTCTTGCCATGGGATTCTCCTTCTCCTCTTTCTCAAGATGGCAGCAACATAGCAGTTAAGGGTGAAAGCATAATGAAGATGCATTGTAACGACAATAGCTAAGGAGACAGCAGAAGTACTCTGGATGGTGATTTATTAGCCCTATATACTTTATCGAATAAACGCTACAGATACACTTGAAAAATGTCAAGGTATTCATCTTGCTTTATTATTAGACCTTTGCCATTCTTTGGTTTCAGGTTTTAATTTCTTGTACTCTTAATGCCAATGTGCATGTCCTATAAAAATTCATTGGAAAGATATCCTGTGCTGTAAGTTGCACATTAAAAGTAGTTGCCGTTTTCAGACGGCTGCCAAGCTGTTTTGGAAGTTTCCCTTCCTCTGCTATATGCATTTTATGCATAGAGGGATGGGGCAACAGGACATTGTTCCAGTATTCAGCGCTACTGGTCTTACCAGTTTATCCTTCCTTGCCTTTTGTCTCCTTGGGCTTTATCTTCTACAACTAACTTCCACTGTAAGGACTGTTTCTGCAGAAAGAGATGGGCTACCCAATGCACCACACCCCCATAATAAAGGGGATGCAGAACAGACCTCTTACACTATCCATTTTCCAGAACTACTAATTAAGCTGTTTTTCCTCTGCACCTGAAACACCGCAGTGCTGACAGGTGGGGCTGCAGTAGCTGAAGAAGTCTGAAAGGTAACCACAAATGAAGCAAAAGCAGAGGACGCATTTACTCTTGTTGGCACCTTGACCGAGACCTTTTTACTGATGTTGGGCTGATCTCCCCTCCCTTTCCTCCAAAAGGACACACCAAAGTGTTCTTAAGAACAGAACTTTATTTCTTTGTTAAAAATCATCTTTTCCTTCTCCGCTTCCAGCTAGAGTTAGCAGTACAGTACAGCACTGAGAACACCTTCCCTCATACAATGTTTTCCTCTCAGGCTGCTCCCGGCATCCAAAAAGGCTGCCTCCATTTCCCAGCGTTGATGTCTCTCACGTGTCTGATGTCTCTTACGTGTTCCCAGTGCTGTTACCTAAAATCGTTTGCAACAGGCAGCTTGGTGTGAAACACTTCACCTAACCCAATGTAACATGACAGCATGCCTTTAACACGTGAAAGGGAATTAACTGTATTAAAGCCATTTGAAGATAAAAATGCCTTAAGGCAAGAAGAGTCCTAGAACAACGGCAAGACACAAAAGGAGATTGGTGTTCCAAGAGGACCCTTTTCACTGCAATGAGGTAGATTTTCTAACAACAAAACACCAAACCACCTCATATGAATACTGAGAGCACTCAGTGATGATCAGCTAAGGCTTAGGGCACTAGAAGGAAGCAGCTCTTCCAGTTGATGATCCCAGGCTTGACTAAGCCCCTGCATTTATTTTGCAGAGAGGTACAATGGCCTGAGCATTGCAAGGAAGTGACACGGTTCTTCAGATAAAAGACTCTTGAGTCAGGGATTTCAGATGGAAGAAGTTTAGCCCAGCGTTACTGGCTGCCTTTCTTTGGTATTAGAGCTCTAGCAGAACCGTGCTGATGTTCGCTGAATTTGGGAACGCTCTGAGACAGAGGAGAGAACACAGCTGGACAAGTGCAAATTCCAGTGTAAGAAGAAGCACTGCTGTGGCTGCTGCTACTACAGCAACATTTCTCACTCGAAAAAGGCCAGGCTTGAATCTGAACTGGACAAAGGGGTGGTTTGGATGTGCACGCTCACTCCAGAGAATAATTTACTGAATAGATAAAACTATACAGAAGCATTTTTATAGGTTACTTTAGTGATCCCATTCATCATCCTCCAGCATACATAACCCCATTAACGTTAAAGGTTTGCCTGGGAAAGGATACTAGCGCTTTTGGGGAAACACCTTCTGCAGCATAGCGAGGGCAACAGCTGTTGTACGGCAATAGGCATTCTGCCTGGCTGTCAGTCCAGACAGAGCTCTTCAATTTGCAAGCAATTTGAGAAAACTATTGCTGCTGGTTTTCCTGCAAGATGGTATCTCAGTCCATGAGCAAGCACACTGCAATAAAAATTATAAACGTGGAGCAGATTCTTCATTACATTAGGCCTACAAGCAAGTGTGCTGTTTGTTAAAAGTCCATTTCAGCTTCAACATGTGGACGTTTGAGCAGGTGTCCCCACCGCAGTCAGTAGTGGAAATCCTATTGACATCAGTCATGCAAGAATGGCATAGCGGGATTCTGGGATTTGTTCCTGGAGTCACACAAGAGTATATGAAACCCGGTTCTCTTTTAGGGCTACCCTAACTCGCTAATAGCCAAAAACCACCTGCATTTGGGTTACGCAATGGTAATTTTGTATAGAAGGTTTCCCTGTTGAGGAACTCCTGCATTGAACATAACTGCAACCCATTGCAGGATGGTACACCACAAGGTTCAGATGAAATTCTGTGAACGTTTCCCACACATGTCCAATCTCTACATATTAAAATTGCATGTAATTACAAATAGCATTGCTTAATTAACTTACCCAGAGAAGGTTTACCATTGTTCTAGTGTACAGCTATTTCATGTTATCAACACCAATAAGCTTATTCTGCTGTAAACTGGCTGGAAGAGAGAGAATGACCGTGGTATGTCCTGCCGGAGAGAGATTGCAAAGCATTCCAGGCTGCCAAGGCTCTTGGCTGAGCTGCATCTCTTCTGTCCTGATGTTTTCAAGATGCTTGCCTTGAAGGAAATGCTTAAAATCTCTGTAGCCAACCAAGAATTGAAAGGATAGCTTGGCTTCCACTGCAAGAAGTCAAGACAGACTTGTATCCCAGCTGCAATACATAAAATTTCACGGATAAAATGAGACATTCTGTCTTCTTATTTATGCTTACCTGAGAGGCGATGTAGAGATCCTTCAAGGTTTTGCTAGAGTCCAATAGCTTGCACTTCACACTTCACCTCAGTTATTAAGGGCTTCCAGTTACAAGATGAAAAAAAATCCTACAGCACTGTAAATTTGGCATTAATTATCTGAGGAAGATGTCTAAGAGCATCACTTTTAAGCCAAGAACATTTGCATCCCTTAGGAATGCTTCACATGGCTGTTTAGCACCTTGCATGAGAGATGTAGTAAAACATTGGAGCTTGTATTACTGTGCAGTTCTGCAATGTGTGCATGATCGGTTTCTTAGCTTCAAGCTCCCCTGAGTAGGGAGCGATTCATCTCTAGGAGGCTAATTTCTTACAGTTGAGTGCAGGATTTTAATAAATAAACCCAAAAGTGAAGTGCCCTTTTGAACAGCCCTCGTATCAGCAGGTAATATCAGTAATTTAGGAAACTCAAACCATTCACCATTCCACCCAATATATTGTGATCAGTGCTGTTTTTTTTTTTTTTTAAATACATCATAAGTTATCTCTTTTGTTTTAATTAAGACCTTACAACGCCACTGAGAAATTTTAACCCCAGAATGCCAAAGATACATTATTTGAAGGAGTAGTCAAAATAGTGAATAAAAATGTTTTTTTGATTGATGAGTTTACAAATCATTTGCACCAGTGAGAATGAACAAAACATTTTCTTCAGTCACACATGCTGAACCATCCTCTCCTGAATGGAGACATGGGG